AAAAAAAAAAAAAAAAAAAAAAAAAAAAAAAAAAAAAACAGAGAAGGAAAGGAAAAAGGGAAAAGAGAGGAAGAAGGTGAAAAAGTTCAGTCTTTTAACAGGGACGGCCCCCACCCCACCTTTCTGCTGCATTGTGTCATTCCGTTATCGTCTCTACTAGAGCAAGCGGGTATCATTGATTCTTGAAATTCAGTTTTTGTAATTTAGGAAATGCATGGGAATTACGCGCGCCTTAGCAAGCGTGCTGGGAATTTGGCTCGACGGTTAGAAATTCCGGAATGTACAGAACCCGACGTGTCCTTTTTGTGCATGAATGTTCTCGGCCACATCGTGGAAAACTCTGGAAATTTTGTGGAAATACAAATAGACATAGGACTTTCTTCGTCCAAGTCAACGAGCCGGATCCGCACTGCTGGAAAAGCATGGAAGCCCTCACGGACAATGAGAAATGTCGGCTGTTGAAGAAGGTTCTCAACTGCGAGGTGGTGTGGGTGCAGACCGACTCCTCTGGGTTGGCAAAGCAAGGGAAGCTCGGGATGCAAGAGGCAGTGCATCTCGTGAAGTGCGACCACATCATGGTGCGGTTATGGAACTACTACCAGTTCAAGTATGAGAATCGGCCCGACTCCGATTGGACGCGTTCCTATCCCTTCCTGCGGAAAAGAGAGGCGATTTTTGCGCAGTTCAAAAGCCAGGGACTGGATGCAGCATTGTGGGACGGAAGCAGGAAACTCGTTGGAGACTCATCGTTGTTCAGAGACAGTCCCCCGTTCATGGGCTGCGAAGACGACAAGTTGATCAAGGCGACGAAAAAACTGGTTCTCAACAAGAAGTTGTCCAACGACTGGAAGAACAAGGTCCTTTCCGTGTTGACCGGCACCAGGTCGAAGAGCATGCGCTCGCCGAAGGCATGGTGCATATTCAGGGGCAGGACTCAGGGGATATGACATCCATCATGCCCTTCGGCGTCGATCCTTTGGAGGCGCAGATGAAGGTCGTCGAGTTGGAGAAAGCGGTTGGGATCACGAAATGCCACACTGTCGTTCTTGATTTGAGCGAGCCTGTGGACATCACACAGTGGACACAACAAGCTTTTGAGAGTTTAAATGCCCTTCTACAACATTTGTTCCCTTCGCACTGGACGGTCGTTGCTTTCGTCCCCCGGGAGCACGACTACTACTTCATGACCAGTCTGCGCCATTTGTCCGTTGTCAAGGCAATGGCAGGAAAGTGGGTGAGGAGGCCGCAGCAGAAGAAAAGCTTCGCGGTCGGCAACAACTTGTACTCAATGGACGACCGCATGTACATCCTCTTCAAAGGTGACGACTTGCAAGAGAACACGTTTGTGGTTTACGACGCGAGGTTGGAGGCGGGTGATGCTGCTGCTCTGGGGGCACATGTCAAAGTCACACCAACGCACGTCTCGGAGATGTTGGGCCTTGTGAATGGCCCCTGGTCATACCTGGCCGTGATCGCAAAGTTTACAAGGACATGGAACGGAACCCCGCGCAGTTGGCCCATCTGCTGGAATTCGTGTGCAAAAGGGGGGAGGGTGTCATGTTTCTCGAGAAGGCGCACGCACAAGTCGTGTGGGAGGCTTTGAAGGGCGGTTGCAACGTCATCTCGTTGGAGGGGAATTCGGAGTTGCTACAATACACATTGGATTTCCTGAAAGGCGCGGTCAACTCGGGAGCCCACCATTGCGAGTTTATTTCGAGGACTGACAAACCACGACACGCTTGGGAGCCGTCCACGGACATGTGGTTCAAGCTAAGCGAGAGGAAAAGGGACAGGGTATATGAGGTCCTCTTCCTGGAGACGCGGCCCAGGAGGGACAGCGACCCTGAGTATATTCGATGCAGGGAGCACATGTTGGCGTTGCTGGACAACTACCATGGCGCCTCGCGTTTGAATGCCAAGAACTTCCTGGACCAGCTGGAGTGTTTGTACTTTGTCGAGTCGGAGCAAGAACTCAGGGTCGCGATTTACAATGCATTGATTGACACGGACGAAGAGGCAACGACCGGAGTCGTTTTCAACATGAATGTTCCGAAGGAGGATAGCGACAACGAGGAAATCCACCTGAATTACCTCCCTGCTCCTGTTCTTCCACCCCCGGGCTCCTCGACGGCAGGTGCATCGTCAACCCAGGCCACTCCAGCGACGCCCGTTCGCAGGTCCACCCCCGGCAAGACCCCCAGCAAGTTGTTGGCGGAACTCACACCCCGTACTGTTGCCCCGCCTCGCTTGCGTCCAGGGAGTGCAGTCCCGCCGGAACATCCTTCTTGGAAGGATGAGTCCATTCACTTTGAAGGGCACGACCACACTCGTTCCACTGGAGCAGACTGGGGCCACGACATGATTTGGCACCTGGGACCGATCCAGCCTGCAGTCCGTGAAGGGGAGTGGATAATGGCCGTCGTGGACTCGGCTGGGCAGTGGGAGCCATGCTCGCGCCTTCCCAAGTCCGAGTACTTGCAACTCGCAAGCAGTGGTGTGGCGGATAAAGTGGCGTCAGAGAACCCCCGTTTCCAGGCCACCGACCCGGCCGTCATTCAACACGCTGAACGTTTGTTTCTGGAGCTTTAAGACAACGGGTGGTTGGAACTCTCGGACGAGTTTTACGACTTCGATACGAGCCCTTCGAAGGGAAGCGTGGACTGGAAGGTCCCCCCTGCGGTCGCAAGGGAGTGCGAGAGGGGGACCTCCAGGCCCTCCGCGCGGGGGAGGGGGTGGGGGACGCGGCAAGGGGACAGGAAAGGGCGCCGCGTCAGGGGGATCGGTTGGCACGCATGACCAAGGCAGAACATTGGAAAGCGGCAGCCGGGTTGGGTTGTTGAACGTTGCTGATAAGACGACCGTCGGGGCCAGCAAATCGGCTAAGTTCGCCGACATCCGAACTTCTCATAACGTGGAGCCGCCGCCTTTGGACGCTGCGAAGTCCGTCGACGGCCGCACTGCATCCACCACACATTGGTCGGCCCTCCCCTCGACGACTGATTTCGCCGCTTTCGTTGGCATCGGGAGAGGCTCGAGTGCAGGTGTTCCGATCACCGGCGTCAAGTACAAGTCCGCCGCTATCCGGACAAAGCCTCATGAGGAGCACAATGGGGAGCCCGTCCTGCGCAGCGCTACAGGAGCAGAAGTGTCGGAAACGGGTGCCAAAACGAAGTCCGCCGGAATCCGCACTTCGGTTTCGTCCGGTGCGACGTCCGACGACTTTTCTACGCAGCAAGAGACTGCGTCGGCCGTCGGAGACGGGCAGCCTGCTGAGTTCAATGCACAGTTGGATAGCGGGGCGTCGTCTGTCCTCTGCAATTTGAACTCTGCCGGTATCCGAACTTGCTGGAGAACGGACCTGCAGTCAGAGGTCGTCGGGCGGGCGGGAGATGAGACGTGTGCAGGGACAAAAGACTTGTTGACGGGAGTCAACGCGGGGCCGGTGGGAGGAGCTGATATGCGCGAGAGGGATGGGGGGGAGGAATGGGTACAAGTGGAGGACGGCCAAGAAGAAAATGAATGGGAAGAAGGTGGGGAAGGAGCGGAAGGGGAGGACGAACGGCCGGAGGGTGGAGAAGATGTTGGTTGCGGTGAGTCGTCTGATTCATTGGGACACTTGGAGGTGATGTCGACGACGAAGCGACGACGATGGAAATGGAGACTCAGGTGGCCATTGGCCTTTCCGCAGACCCGGATGCCTGTGACGTGCACCCGCTGGCACCGGCATTGCATCTCCGGGACGTGTGCGACGAGGTCGCCATGGCAGTGGGCCAGACGAAAACGAATCGTCGAATGGAAGTCAACGACGTCACTGATTGCAAACTCCACAAACAACAGGCCATATCAACTCCGTCCCCGCCTACAAAAACCGTCGGGCGCGTCGACACCGATCATTCCTTGGACGCCGAGTTGGAGGCCCCGTCGCCCTGCTCTCCGACACTAGCAGACACCTTCCATGGCGCAGTGGGTGGCGGGGTTGTGGGCTGCCAGCATTTGACGTCCTCGAAAAAAAGCAGGGTGGCCGCTCAGCCTCTCGCGGTGCTCACCTTACCCACGCCCCGGTCGCCGATGAAGGAACGGAGGGAGAAACCATCTGGTAAGCGTTAATGATCTTCGCTACGTCTGCACGCTAACGTCTCTAGAGTGCCAACGATGTCAGTCAGCCATCCTGTCGTTGACGCGAGGACAAGTTACGCCTTCCCATGGACGGTAGCGAAGACGGAGGTCTGTGCGGCCACAGAAGAGGATTATCAACACTGGCGCAGTTCTCGCTGCGCCAAAATTTGAGCCCTGAGGGGCACATACAGATAGACCGGTGTTGGCCTCGACACAGCAAGTGCGGATATCGGCGGACTACAACATTCGGTCCTTTCGGTACGACGCACCTGCCTTGTCCGCATTGTCTGGAGTGTGCTGTTCTTTCGTCGGCAGGACAGGTCGTTGTAGTCCGCCGATATCCGCACCACTATTGTCAACGACATGAGGAGAGTTGGCACATGGTTAAGGATCGATTCCGACGGACTTTCATCCGCGACCGGCACACAGAGACTAACATCGTCACCCTTCCGCAATACAAGTGCGGATACCGGCGGACTTAACAAACCCTGCCAAGAAGATAAAACAACCCTTCTATCTGCTGGTTGTTTAAGTCCGCCGGTGTCCGCGCTTCTATTGTGGGTGCGTGATGTGCTTACTCTCTGATACTCCGCCGGCATCCGCACATGCACAAATGTCGGCTTTCCGTCTCCTGCCGACACTGGTCGTGACGACACCGGCGGTGTACAAAAAACAGACCTTCCGAGGGTCCGATCTTTTTAATGCGCCGGTGTCCTCACTTCCAGTGTCGGGGCCGGACGTGTCCTGTCGGTCTCTGCGCGCTGTGGCTTCTAGTCCGCCGGAATCCGGACTTCATCGCTCTTGTGCCTGTTTGGCCTGATGTTTTCTTGCTTCGCGTTGTGCAGGGGTCGCAGGCTCGACTGCGCTCCTCGTCTTCGTGTCCAAAGGCTAACATGCTCCTCGCTGAACCCGACCACGTGATGACACTCCACTGGTTGGAGAGACCATCATCTGCATGGCTATGTCAATATTTTACTTTTCAACTTTCATCGAATCGTATATTCATTTCGGGTTCTGTCTTTCTTTTGTTTTACAGGGGTAGGGTCGACTTGGAAATTGAGGTCCTCCATTTTCTCGAAATACCCAGCACGAATGTTGCAGAAAGTCCCCGGGTTCAAGACAAGACACAAGAATATGTTAAAGGCATAAGGGGTTGATGTCGAGACTGGGGAGAAGGACCATGTCGTGGCCATTGATGAATGTATTTCCCTTCTGCCTCCGGAGAAGGGGACGTATCCGCGATCTGTGACTAGGGGTCAGGTCATTTATGAAAAATACTTAGCAGAGCATCGCGTGATGAGGGAAAATCTTTAGAACACCATTTCTCACAACCCAGTGTGTGCATTGGTCGATGATGTGCAGTTCGCGCCAGAGCACGTGGAGCCTGTGGGGGGGTTTTCGGTAACGCGATTGCGCCTCGAGTCTTGACGGTTATGGGTGACATATCCCGAGGTTTGGTGCCACCTCATCATGTTCTATCTACTTTTGGTGATGGTCAAGTGAAAATCACATCTATAGATCTGCTCACCGTTTTGCTTGTCGATGGGAAGCTCAACGATGAGGTGGTGAATTTCTACATGGCGCTTTTGGGGTCGACTGCATGCATGATACGTCAAACATCATCAAGCCTTCGAGTCTTCAGCTTCAGTTCTTTCTTCCTCAGTAAGTTGCAACTTCATGGACACGGTGGGGTGGAAAGATGGGCTAAGAATGTAGATCTGCTTCACTTCGATATGATCTTCGTTCCGGTGCATAAAGACAATGATCACTGGATCCTCCTTTCCATCAATTTGAGGGACAATGTCTTCGAGATTTTCGACTCCTATCCTCGCGTTATAGCAGATTCGCGTTCCTACCTTAGTGTTTTCAAGTTGATTGTACAGTAYTYARAACGTCATACCTCACATGGCCGGTCGCCTAGGAGTTGGGAGTCTATGGCAGGGAACGTTGTTGTGGAAGGAGTTACGAGACAAGTTGACGGAGCTAGTTGCGAGGTGTTCATGTTGACGTTTGCAACGCTGTTGCAACGCGGTGATCGACCACCTTTCGGGTTCTCTTTGAAGATATACCTGTAATTAGACGACAATTGGCAACATGTCTTTTGGAACACCATTATCTTTGATTGATTTTCATGACTTCTGTACAATCTTTTGACTATATTTCATTCATTGACGATTGTTTTTGCTTAGACATGACATTACTCCACTTCCTTTCTCAGTGGAGCTTCGTTCTCTTTTATTCGCTCAATTTCGAGTTCTGTTTAGGGTGGTCGTTGTCTGTATGGTGGCATTTGTAGACTTTGTCATCTGCATCTTTTCTCCTGCGGTAGGACAAATTCTTGTTGCGTTCCTTTCTCCGAAGCTCACATATAAGAACCTAGAGTGTGCATTACAATTGAAATCATATGATATCCGAATTTCTTGTGCGGTATAATAAATTGGTGTGCCCATGCATAACAACTCCCGATAAGTGCGTCAATGTGCAGTTCATTACGCGACCATCACTTGCTTTGTGATTGTCTGTACTGCATTTAATAAATGACTTCGTGTTCATGTCTGAGACTTCTGTGAATGGCCTGCTCAAGTTCAGATGTTACTTGCTAATATAATTAACCCCCTTCTTTGTATGCATTTCATCACATAGCGAAATAAGCCCAGATATTATCAAACATACATTGCATCACTTGAATAAAGTGCAATAGCGATGACATTCGGAAATGTATTATCCACCATGAGTTCGGTTAGGACACCACGCTCATCAAATTTCTTAAGTATAACAAGTACGGATCTCAACACATTTCCGCATGTTGGCTAAGTGCCTGGGCATGCTTGTCGCTATTCTTAGCCTTCTAAAGTATAACAAGTATGGATCTCAGCACACTTCCGCATGTTCGCCAAGTGCCTGGTCGTGCTTGTCGATATACTAAGCCTTCTAACCGACTCGCCGAGAGGATAGACATACCTTGTTACTGAAAGATAACCGAAGCAAGCTTGTCCAACAAGGAGACAATCAAGGCGCATCATAAAAGCGTTATCCAACATAGATCCGGTCGTAACGCCTTGCTCATTAAATTTTTTTAGTATAAGAAGTATGGATCTCAACACACTTCTGCATGCGGGCCAATTGCCTGGGCATGCTAGTCGCTATACTAAGCATTGTAAAGAAGACGGAATCTCACCAAACATCCATATGAGTATTAGATGTTTCGGCCAAGAGGATGGACATGCCTACGTTACTTCGGGATAGTGGAAGCGAGTTTGTCCAAGAAGGATACAATAAAGCCACCTTGCTCATCACAATCCTAAAGAAGTACGGATTTCAGCACACTTGTCGAACTTCTCGGACAAGGACACAATCAAGGGGCCTTGGTCCTCACAATTATAAACAAGTATGGATCTCAGCACGCTTCCGCATATGGGCCGAGTGGATGGGCATGCCTACATTGCTTAGGCTGTAGCCAAAACTGATTCGTTCCAAAGAGGACACAATATAATGTCCTATTTTAACGAATAACATGTCTGGTGGTTTAAGGGTAATAGACCGGAACGGTACTATATATTTTGTCAGACTCATCATCTATTTATTAAGAGTCACGGCTTTGTACCTCACCGCCAGATTATGGCGCACTCTCTGCCAGGGGCCTAGTCCAACTTACACGAACCCTTGATTTCTAACTGTACATTACCAAGATCAACGACAAAAAATGCAGGATCCGGGCAAGTGGGCCTTGGCCCAGGGAGATTGCATCATTGTGTGGAGAGTGCCTACATCCCCCACACCACAGTCTGATCACGAATGGTACCAAGGCCTTTCTACCTCTCTCCTTCTCCCTTCTTTTTTTCGCCCGCTGCTTATCTCACACATGCACGCAAGCTCCCCAGTCTGCACATTGTCAACTATAAATATAAATGTCAAAAAAAAAAACGTAGTTACCAATCTCTTTCTCTTCTCACTCAAATAACCAACTCGGGTTTGGTAGCTGACGCTGCTGGTACTTAAGTGTTGAATAGGCTCGATTTGCTGAGCACGGTCGGGCAAAAGGGCAACCTGATAGGTTTAATGGTTGGTAGGTCCAATGG